TTTCCGATACGACGGCGTCCAGGAGTGGCAGTCGTAGGCAAAGCGTGTCGTAGTCTATGACTGAAGTGTTTTCGTTAAACGCGGCGCTGATCTCCGCCACCAACCGGTCCTGAATATCGGAATTCACTGCCAATTCGTAGGTACAGTGCGATAGCGTAGCCATGGCTGACATATAGCCGCCTATTATGAATGCGATGCACTGACCGACGATCTCATTGTCCGATAATTTATTATCCAAGACATGGGTGGAGACACCTTTGCCTTTAGTCGGGTGACGGCCGACGGTGGTCTCCTTATCGGGTGTCCTAATTTGGCCACTAGTGTCCACTCCCGCCTCCTCCCCCTCCCCCTCCTCTCGCTTCGCATCCATTATTAATTGCAAAAAATCGTTGTGTTTTTCGCCCGGTTTTTTGCGCTCCGATATTAACCGTCCGACGACTTGATTGAAATACGCGCGGCTCGACTGACCGGCGCCGTCGCCAAAAAGCCGGCTATTGGCCGCACATGCGGGCAAAATCATTGCCACCAATTCCTTGCAACGATTGGTCAAAAACATTTGGTTGGCGTTAACTACAAACGGGTGGTTCGGCTGGGAATAGGGATGAATTTTGGTGGCGAACGCCGCGCTGGCGATCACATCCATCGAGTAGTCGGCCATCACTTGTTTTAGGTCCACTTCCGTCGGTCGACCACTACTACTACTAGTCGACACCCGTCCGGCCAACGCCGCCATAAACTCGTTGCAACACTCTTCGACGAGTGGGTACAGGCGTCGCAATTTGGTCGGTGTGAATGTGGGACTCATGACAAGTCGCAGCCGTTTCCAGTGGCCGTCCCGAGCGGTGCTGATGTGTTTCGGATAGTTTGCCACCACGTGTTCGCCCGACTCTGGCGTTCGGTTTCGGAATTTGTCAAATTCTTGCACCAGAATCTGTTTGACGAGCGCCGGGTCCGCCACTGTTAACACCCGTTTACCCATATAATACAGACTATACCCAAATGCCAACACCAATTATATAGTGAAAATTTATATACAGTAAAAATTAGCTATGAAATTTATCTGCCTCTACTGTGGTTTGTAATGCGCATTTCACTGCACTACATGTGCTAAACAGTGCACACATACCAAATGTATTGCAGCAAAACGCACATTGCAAAACACAATAGATGTAGAGACTTTTTATAACTAATTGTCACTATACAGCTAGATGTCCAAAAAGGGTGGGCTTTGCCCGTATGCTCCCATAGACAATACATTGGGAATTCAATCTTTTTTTAATCTTTTGGACATATAGCTATACAGTATATACTGTATCTAATTAACATTTATATTAAATATTGTTTTAATATATTATAATTACCCGTAGAGTCGGCCGTATCTGGTATACCACTGCATCTCTATATATGGCTTCGCTGTCAGTAATAGACTTAAAGAATTGCCAAAATATAATATGGGTTTCGGACCCGAGATATTGCGGTCTTTCCAATAATTATATAAACGACAATATATTCTATAAAATATACACAAAATTAATATTAATCATGGTAATGCCAACGGGCACTATAAGTCTTGAGCGAACAACTGATATAGTTTATTTAATTTTGTCATTTGCAAACATAATAATGATTAAAATTTTGGCTCCGGCTCTAGTATTGTGATTTTAATGTTAATAAAATTTAGCTAAAATAATATGTTTACATTACTATAATTTGTAAAAAAGTTAGTTTAATCTAATATCTCAACATTTTCAATCACTAAAAGACAGCATGGTAACAAATTGTGATATTTAAAAAAAAAATAAACTACATTATTCATTTGTGAATTGTGGTTTTAAAAAATATTTTTAATCAACAATGTTTTATAATTGTATGCAAACTATAAACTATTGATTTTTGTAAAACAATATTTTGAACAATTTCTATTCAATTTGCATAACACAAAATAGGTAACAATCAACGCAATTACGTAATTGTAAAACAAATTTCATCAAATTAACTTGCTAATTTTTATTTATATTATCTAAATTTATAGCTTTAAATATACTCACAAATAGTTATACGTGATCAGAATTGCCACAACAGCCGCTACCAAATACCACACGTATAATGAATTAAATGTTGTGCCAAACAATAAAGACATTGTTATTAATGCCATCACTTGTAATACAAAATCAAGTAATTTAAACACAAAACTCAAAATGTAAAATTATATTGCCTGTTGAATGTTTCCTTATATACTAGCTTGGTATAACGTTGGTGTATAACTAGAACCAGGACATGGTGAGTTATGAAATATTCAGATTTATAAAAGTAGTGAATCATTGCAAGGGTAATAAAAAAAATCTCTATTCAGTTAATGTTATACATCTATAAAATAGTTGCGATAATCAGTATTATATTTTTAATAATTGTACATTTAGGACAACAAGTCCTTGCAACATTAAATAATTTTAAAATGTGCATGTAATGATATTTTTTTTAATTTCACAAAATTTTCAAGTGTATGATATGGCAAATTACAAATATAACAATTACAAGACTATATTCTTATAACAAGTTAAGTCACTTATTAACTTCAATTCAGCAAGAAAATTTTAAGACAATCATTTAATAAAAATTAAAACAGGATTATTTTATTGTTTTTGCTTGCATGCGTTTTATAATAAACATCTAAACATTTTTAAAATGTCTAAAATATCCTTTATAATAAACACTTTTGCTTTGTATAAAACATTTATTAACTATTCTGTTCATTTTGATTATAATAAAAAATACTTTTTAAAACTAAATCATGCATTTTATTTAACGTATATGATTAATAAAACATCTACGTTGATAAAAACTATTACGCAGACTATTAGGGACTTACGAACGGAGCAATACTATTGCTGTGTGTTGTGGGACGAGATCGACTGTTTCAGAGCCCACTACAGGGTAAATATTACAGCATATTTTTAATTGTTATACTAGTTAATTTTTATATTTTAATTTACTTGACCGGGGCGTAATAATTAACCATAATTTTTGTTATGAATATAATTTATGCAATTGTTGGGCTACTTGTATCAATCACTAAATGGGAAAATTATATGTGTTTAGAGTTTAATCCTGTTTAATTAATGTTATTTCTCTATCGAAAACCCTTAATATGGGTATGAGGGTTCAAATTGTATGAGCACAATGTTAAACTTGCATAGAGCGTGCACCTATTCGTACACCTAGAACCCCGATGATATTGGTTTCTATGGGATTAAAGCTTAAGAGCAGTACATGACATACAGTTGGTATAACACATGTAATGCTTTTCTTATGGCAATTATAATTCTATGGGGTAAACAAGTTAAATGTTAATTCTATAAGAGATATAATATTAGTTATAGTAAGAGTGCAAATTATAATAGAAACAAAAATCGCACAATATAAACAGAATGTGGTTAATATGATTGTAATTGACTTTAACCCAAATTATTAACATAATATTTAACCATGGTACATTTATTATGTCTTATAGACCACTTGTACTGCAGCAGATGCGGCAGACCTGGAGAGGATCTGGAATAATATTCGGCTAAATCATGGTAGCACAGTTTTCACTCAACAACAGTGTACAATTGATGGCTTTACCAACCTTATGAACAGGAACATCTGCAAAATCTAATATGTTACTACTTGGCTATTATGATTTTAACGTACATAATAGATTGTTATTATGTTAATTGATATATTTTTATAATGTTTAATAAAAACTTAAATTATTTTACATTATAAATAATGATTAATTATAAAAATTTTTAAAAATTATTAAATACATAAATGAAGCATGAAATTAACACTTAAACTTGTTAATTATTACAAAAGTAATATAATAATTCGTTTTGTAACAACGGTTGTTTTAATTTTGATAGTTTTAGCAATATAATAGCCATTTTCACCAAAATTATAAATCAACCTGTTTTGTATTAATAATGAAATTAATTTTATTTAATTGAGATAGATATAAACTCGGTCTTTCGAACAATATAATATAACATGGGCGTAGGTGATAAACATAATTTGCTGTTCAAGTTGCAATTTTATTATATAGCTTAAGTGTTTATATCTCAATTCATTGATGGTGGTCTAAAATTTAGATTAAATATGTTTATGCATGCAATAATTATCAACATAAGTTTAGAATAATTACAAAATAAAATTTGTGCTGGGATACATTTTATTGGTTGTTTTTGTATCATTTATATGATTACAATTTATTGTAATAAATGCATCATGGATATATTAATATTGCAATACATTTATTATTCTATTCAATGTAATGTATATATTATTTTTAAGGTACTAAACTGTAAACAAATTGGATAATATAAATATATGGATAATATAGGCTTACATTATATAACTTGTATATAAATTGTATATAACTTGATTTGGTTTATTGGATATGGTAGCAACGGCTGTAAAATTTGTCGTATAATTTGACCCGTATACAATGTTATACAGTTAGTTGCAATTTAATTATAGTCAGTTGGGGTGACAAATAAATTATATTAATAAAATAAAATTATATTTATTGTAATTTAAAATTTAATAATAAATAATTTTTATTGTTAAACATAAATAGTTTAACCTATATTAATTAAATTGCGTATAAACATTTTATTTATTGACCAAACAAAACTAAACATATTTCAATTTAAATGCCTGGACAGTACTTTATATAATTTTATACGTGTATAATAAATCATTTTGGACTAAATGGTGTATTTTTAATTAATTGGTTAGAATTATTTTTAAGGAACTAAATAAATAAATTAATAATTAAGTAGTTTATATTTAGTAATTTGTATAGTTATAAAGAAAACTAACTATACTTATCTTATGTTGTAGTTTAATTACAATTTAGACTGTTTTATTATAATTTATAAATGTGAAATTACCATAAATAATTAAATTTATTACATTTATACAAGTTATCTCCAATTTAAGAGACACCGATTTAAGGGGAATTCGATTTAAGGGAGGGATTTTTGTTGCACCGAACGCTCCTATGGGTGGTTAACATTACACAATCCGATATAAAGGGAATTTGATTTAAGCGAAATTTGATATAAGGGACAAACTT